ATTTTTGGAAAATTCCAAACAAGAGCATATATCCCCGAGCCCCTTCGCTGTTTTAAATGCCAGCGGTTTGGTCATCATCAAGCCAAATGCAGAGCCTCCCCACGCTGTGCCATTTGTGCCCAACCTCATGCCACAGAAGGCTGTTTGTCCAAACTGAAAGCTGGGGAAAAAACAGAGGCCAAATGCCCGAACTGTGGAGGCAACCACCATGCGTGGAACCTCAGATGTGAGAAGAGACGGGCTCTTTTACCAAAAAGCGAAACACCAACGGGACCTTCAGCACAAAGGACTTTCCCTAGGAAACTGCACAACTGGAGTAATCCACCACGCCAAACTCACTCCTCTCCATCCTCAGACATCTGTCAGACCTGTTCAGCCAATTCCGGCCACACTTCAAGGTGCTACCTCCGCAATGACATCTCCCACCCCACATGACTCTGCCATCAGCAAGTTCTTGGCGAATACGATCCAGCTTGGCCTCCTAGCTCTAGGCAGATCAGTGGACCCTTCTATACTCCAGCTCCTGGTGGACAATGTCATCTCTGCCTTACTCACGACGACACACCCTCTCCCTCGACCGCAAAAAGAATCCACTGAACCACAAGAAGCCACTCCTCCTGCTACTTCTGCGGAATCTATGGACGACACTTCTCTGACATCCGACAACTTTCCACCTCTACCACAACCTTCAACTTCAGGACCAATCAATCCTACGGCCAAGCGGCAGCCATCTCAATCCTCTACAGTGGTCATTCCTGTGGTAGACACCTCCAGCTCTACCTCTCATGACAACACAAAGAATCTGCCAACTACCAACTTTCAGCCCACACACCGTCAACATATCCCACAAATGGATAGTACTACAGTTCTTTCAACGTCTTCACCCTTACGCATCCTACAATGGAACATTCTTGGATTAAAAGCCAATCTTGCCACCCTTCTAACAGCCAACGCAGAGGATCCTTTTGACATCCTTGTTCTACAAGAAACCCTACTCTCTGAAACAAGCACATGTAATATCAAGAATTACAATGCTTTTCACTCTTACTATATGCCTGGACAAAACAGGGGTATATCCATATTTACCAAGAACTCCCTCCACTCAGCTGATTACACCTGCACCAGAATGTGGAGCCCGTATCGAATGTCTTGGCATTCAGATCTCTTTAAACGAATCCAACTTATTCCTCTTCAATATATACCGGCCCCCATCCTACCTGCGAATTAGAGATGGATGAACTGTTCGGATTAGCTGCACATGAACCGACCATCATACTAGGCGACTTCAATGCTCACCACCCAAACTGGAATGACCCCACCACCTCCTCAGCTTACAAAACAAATGATGCAGGGCTACACATCAAGCTCCTTCTAGATTCCTTCCCAGATGTTTCCCTTTTGAACTCCAAACAAGCTACGCACACCAAAGGAGGAGTCTTAGACTTGACCATCCTCTCCAACTCTTTAGTATCGACTGCAGACTGGTCCTTTCACCCCTACCTTATGTCAGACCACCTAGCCACCTTCACCACTCTACAGCTACCACGCCTACCACTTCCTCCACCTGTCCAAGATGGAACCTAAAAAAAGCTAACTGGGCGCACTTCACTAAGCTCTTAGAGGACTGGGCAGAGAGATACACTCCTGCAAATAACCTTCACCAATTAGAGCAGGATTTTATTGATGCTATTAAGGCAGCAGCAGATATCTCAATACCCAAAATAAATCACACATATCATGCGCATAAGGACAGTTGGTTTACAATACACGAGTCCGGGAATTAAAGCGCAGACTGCGCTTGTTCAGAAACCTCCTTAAAAAAACCAACTCCCCAGATATCCATGAATCCTTCAAAACCCTAAGGAGGTTAGTTAATCAAGAGCTCCTCGATATCAGAAACAAAGCCTGGCTCACTTGGTGTGAAAACATCTCTGCCCACACACCTCTCCGAGAATTATGGGGTAAACTCCGTGCAGCATCTGGAGCAAAAACACTGAAGTCCTCCATACACCCAGAGCCTCTCCCAAGCCAATAGATTAGGTGCAACATTTGCAGAAAGATGCGCTTCAGCTCAACTGCCACCCAACATCTCTAGAAAATTACAACAACTCCAGACAATACGTCAACAGACAATCACAACGGCCATTAATACTAACGCTACAAGCGATGCTCCTTTCACCAAACAAGAATTATCACAGGCCATTGTCAACAAAAGAGACACTGCACCTGGAGAGGACAAAGTCCCCTACTCATTCCTTAGCCATTTAGGCCCCAAATGCAAAAGTACATTACTCAAAATTTTTAATAAATCATTACAAGATGGCACATTACCAAGGAATTGGAAGCAAGCTATAATTCAGCCCATTCCCAAGAAAGAATCAAACTCCTTCAGGCCAATCTCCCTCTGTCTTGTGTAGGGAAATCCATGGAGAGAGCCGTACTCAACAGACTTCAACACATCATTCCTAAATTCCACCGCATATCTATGCATACCAGAAAGGTGCAGGCACAGGAGACAACATCATCTCCTTTCCCTTCTAGATGGAAAGGACAGTATTGTAGTATTTCTGGACCTCGAAAAAGCTTTTGAACTCGCCAACAAAGATGCCATCCTTTCTTCATTAGCAGAGAAAGGCCTGAAGGGTAAACTCCTCTGCTGGCTACAGGACTACCTGACCGACAGGAGTGCTAAAATCAGATTCCAGGGTCATCTGTCCAACTCTTACAACTTTGAGAATGGAACCCCTCAGGGAGGTCTCCTAAGTCCATTCCTTTTCAACATCCTGGTTTCCAACTAAATGACAATTCACTTCCCAGCAAATGTACACTTGTTAGCATATGCTGATGACATACAACTCGTGGCCACAGGTCCAACCGACATATCAATGCCAATCAGCACTTGACGCAATTGAAGCAAAAAGCAAAGAACTGGGACTCAAAGTTAACCCCGACAAATCTAAAGCACTCCAGGTAAACAGGATAGTTGCATATCACCAACTCTATATTGGCAACATACCACTTGAGTGGGTCCCATCCTATAAATGCCTCGGCATCTTCTTCAACTCTGAACTTTCAGCTACCACACACCTTCGTTTCCTATTTAAGAAGCACACAGTCCCGCTTAAATGTTCTACGAAGACTCACATCCTCCAAATTAGGCGCTGGGTTCAAGGTATTACGCCTCTTCTACACACATGCCATAAGATCCTTAGTTGATTACAGCGCACCAGCACTCCTGACTTTAAAACCTGATCAACTAGCTTCCCTGGAAACAATACAGAACCGAGCCATGAGGACCATCCTTGCTGCACCTACATGGACAAGGCTTGCCAATCTTCGAGTAGAAACATATTTAACATCTCTCCATAATAGGACTCAGCAACTGTCCGTTAGTCTCTGCTCGAAAATTATAACATCAACAAGACCTTCCCCCTTGAAGTCAATCAACCATCTACTCAACAACAAGAACTATGCCACAGTGCAAGATGGCACGGCCAGTTAGTAAAGGCATTCCACTCCTTAAACACCCTTCCAATATTAACCGCAAGAGGCATAGATAGTGTGCACCCACACTATCAACCTAATCCACCATGGAGAGACTGGGAAGCAAATATCCGAACCGATACCATTCCCACAAGAAAGCTCTCTGCACTCCGGCCATGATTGCTCAACTGGAGGCAAATATAGCTTCACTCAGACAACCAGAAGCTCTCTTACTATTCACTGACGGCTCGGTCGATCAAACAAATGGCAAAGCAGGAGCAGCCTTTATTACCAACGGAACCAGTGTTGCACGTCGAGTCTCAAATGGAGCTTCCACTCTACAAACAGAATTATATGCCATCAAAACTAAATATGCACTGTATCAAACACATTCAACCATCCACATATTCACAGACTCCCTCTCAGCCTTACAGGTTCTAAGGAGAACCCAAGCCACAGACAACTTAAGGCTTATCTCAACAGTCCTGTTCCATATACGACAACTAAAAGAACAGGAGAAAATCCTAACTTTCTGGTGGATACCAAGCCATGTCAATATCACAGGCAACGATTTAGCTGACACTGCTGCTAAAAACAGCCTCAAGAACCTCTTCACAGGCCACATTCCTCCAAGCCTCAGCCAGCTGAAGAAGCACGTACGGAGAGCCGCTTACGAAACTCTCCTCATCGAGCACCGTGCATGGGTCATTGCAGGCTCACCATCCGCAAGCTGGTACAAGATAGTTACTGAATGCAATCCCCCTTCCTTGTCAACAACCTCTCACGAAACACCGCTGCCATCTTTCACAGACTTCGCTTGGGTTACCGCTGCAATTGGGAGATTGACATGCGGGTTCCCAAGCCTTGTACATTGTGCGACACAATCACTCAAGAACCCCTGATACACTACGTACTAGACTGCCCAAGCATCCAACATCTCCGACCCAGGAAATTCCACAGCAACAACCGACAAGATGAAAGCCACTTTGCATCTACAGCTGCCAGATGCCTAGTGGAAATGCTCAGTCTCCCAGACTCACTATTAGTCTTCACCAGAGACCCTCCTCCTAGATGATATTATAGTACTACTGCTACCAAAAAAAAAAAAAAAAAAAAAAAAAAAAAAAAAAAAAAAAAAAAAAAAATCATATATCTCATGTCTATCACGACAGATAGCCATCACCACCACTTCTCCAGTTACTCTTCCGGGTGGCATACGCGTAACCCGGGCTAGTCATGCCGCACTCCTCATTCTTGCATGGCTAGCGAATGTAACAACAAACAACAACAACAACCCGGGCCGAGTTCAGCACTCACGATCCTCCAGCCGAGCAAGACACAGCAAGCAGCAACTAGGCCTACCCAGGCCTTAGCCGACGGGTGAGCCGCCCCGGCTCTCCCCGGCGATCTCCAGCACACCAGCCATACCTGTGGGCACTCACACCCACACCCAAAATCTCCTTAAAAAGATGATTGACACCAGTCCATGGTGGATGCAAATCCATTGCCATACCGTTTCCTCTGCTCCATCAGTCGCGCCGACCGGCGAGTGCCAAGACTCTCTCACCTGCACTGGAGTTGGCAATTTCGCCAAGTGCATCACATGCCAGCCCGAATATTTCCACTGCTCAGCCGCAGGACAGCCTGGAGTCAGCCAGGCGTGTTCGGGCGACCTAGTGTTCAACCCGGTCCCCAGTTTCCCGTACTGCGTTTTGCCTTCGAACTGCCCTTACACGCCACCGCTGTAGGACGGATCCCGCGTCTCTTTGCTGACCTTTTGTTCTTGGACATGGAAAGCCTTTGGGAAGTACTCGACATAACAAATAAAAAAGAAAATTGTTGATTATCAGATATGAAAACAATTTAATAATTAAAGTTGATTTACCACGTAATTTTGTAACAATTATTTAAACTGAAATAAACATAGCACATCCTTCTGGATCTCCATGAGCAAATTCCCAAAATTATGAGTGCAAACCACTTTCACAACCAATTGTTGAATACAATTGGCCAATGTGTAATGTGCTTGTGTGTAAAATGGAATTCACAAAAATGCAAAACTGAAAGATAGCCTTTTGACAAGATGTTCAGTACAAGAACAAATAACCAGACCAAATGTGCCATTGTGCGTTCCATCAGACAAACCTTGAATAATATCTTTGTAAAAAGCGGATCAGTACAATTTGCCGCCAAAAATAGAATTTATGCCCCATAAGTTATACTACTAGACGAAAATTACTTAACCTCAGAAATATGCACTATTCAATTGTATATTTATGAATCATTTTCACTTTTACAAACATCGACAAAATTTCCAACCAATGATGTTCATCTATTGCAGCCGCAATGCTATTTACATTGGAAAACTTCAAGGAACATAAGGGTATTTCATACAGAACGGGAAGACCACTTGGGAAACGCATGGTTTCCCCAGGGCGTGAACATTGACAACAAAACATCCATAATTCATTTCAAAGTAACAGATTCATCACCCTTTGCTCCTGACCTACAAATTAGAAAATTTGTGGATTAGGAAGGGACGACCGAAACTCAATGAATATTTAGCGTCCACTGACATAGAATTGCTCCACTTGTAACAGCAATAGTTGACCCTGGTTGTTATACTCATTTTCTATACATTCCGATATTCTAATATTACCAAATATAAACAGAACATGGCTAAATGTTCGCGTCCTTCTCTATTTTACGTTTATTACCTCCACCAAGGAGGTTATCTTTGTGATAGCGTTGGTTAGCTAGTTTGTTGGTTAACAGGTTAACTCGAAAAGTTTTGAATATCTATTTATGATTTTCAGTTTACCTGAGGTTTGTCTTAGTTTAACTTAAATGTTGGTGGTGATCCGGAACCAGGGTTGTTTTTAGTGATTACATGAGTTACCCCTATTGCAAATACGATTCAAAAAGTTATGAACAGATTTTCTTATTCTTATCACAGAGGTGTGTCTTAGCCTAAAATAGATTCCATTAGACTTTAGTGGTGATCCTGATCATGATCTCGATCCAGGATTTTTTTCTAATGATTGCATCAGTTAAAACTACATACAAGGGTAACTGTTATTGTTACCTTTAGTACCTCCGCCAAGGAAATCATGTTTACAGACATCACCAATGTACTTGAGAAAGAGGGGGCTGTAATTCTTCAGTTGTAAATAATTTTATTTCATCAATGACCCCATGCCTTTGGCGGATATATGCGGTCTCTGAGTGCTTCTAGTAGCTTTTAGATTTTATTTCTATCTAATGTTATGATTGAATTTAAGAATGAATAGTTTTATGTTGTGCTGATATTTGGAATGAATATATACATATACATACACACACACACACACACACACACACATATATATATATATATATATATATATATATATATATATACACACACACACACACACACACACACACATACACATATATATACATATACATATATATGTATGTATATTTGTATATATATGTATATATACACATACATGTATATAATATATATATCATCATCAGCCTGAGTCAATTAACTGCAGGACGTAGACCTTTCCCAATTTTTTCCAACTTTTCCTGTCTAGCGTTTTTTGTTTCTAGTCTTGCACCCCAAGTTTCCTTATTTCGTCACACCACCTTGTCATTGGTATGGCCCTTGGCCTCTTTATGTTAACTATAGTCCAGTCAGTTACTTTCTTTGTCCGCCTGTTGTCTTGTCTCCGACATACATGCCCTGCCCATTGCCATTTTTGATACTCCTGAGTATATCTTCCACTTTTGTCTGTTCCCTGATCATCCTCATCCGATCTCTTGGGTTAATTGGTTAATTCCTAACTAATAAGTGCCCTCTCTGGGCACTTATTAGTTTCATCTCCAGCAATTTGGTTGTAGTCCATGCTTCTGATCCATAGGTCATGACTGGATGGACGCATTGGTTAAAGACTTTCCTATTCAAACATACTGACAAAGTATGCTACTGTGTCTGCCGAGAGCGCTACAGCCTAGATTGATGCGTCGCTTTCCTCTTCGCTTGATGTGTTTGTCTGTACGAGTTGCCCTAGATATATGTACTGTCTACTACCTCTAGTGCTTCGCCTTGTACATGTACCTGCTCGAATTGAACTGTACTGTTGAACATGACCTTAGTTTTTTTTCTTGTTCATCTTAAGTCCGACTTTTAGACTATCTATTCAGATCGTTTATTAATTACTGCATTTCATTTGCTTATTCACTGAACAATATCATCTGCAAATCTTCAATTGTTTAGGTATACGCCTCCTATTTTGATACCCTTCCCTTCTGATTCTAGTTTCTTGAATATTTCTTCGAGGCAGGCTGTAAACAGTTTTGGTGAGATGGTGTCGCCCTAACGCCATTTTTAGTTGGTATTTTATCGGTTCTGTGTGGAGCTTGATGGTTGCTGTCCCATCTTTGCATAAATCTTCCAATATCTTACAATTTACATCCTCTACACCCTTTTCAAAATCGATGAATGCCATACACAGGGGTTTCCTATATTCGTCAATTTTTCTCTTATTTGGGTGAGCATGTGGATGTGGTCTGTTGTTCAGAATCCACTCCAGAATCCTGCCTGCTCTCTAGGCTGGTTAGAATCCATACTGCCGGAGATGCGAGTTTTTCCGTTGAGAAGGCATTTGTTTAAAGATTGGCTAGTTTCACTGTTGCAATTTCTCCTGCATCTAATATAAGGTCTATACTGATTCTGTCTTCACCTGGTGTTTTCCCTCTCTTCATGCCTTTAAGTGTTCTTTTTATTTCTTCTCTTATAATATTTGGCACGTCTCTAGTTACCGCATTTGCCTCTATCCATGGCTGTTCATTTGAGTTATATAGATACCTGTAAAAGTCTTCCACTACTCTTAGGATTTCATTCTTATTATATGTCACTTCTTCGTCTGTTTTCTCTATTGCATACATTTGATTTCTTCCTATTCCTAGTCTCCTTTTAATTGCTGTTATGCTGGTACCTGAAATCACTGCTTCATTTATTATTTGATTATTGAATTTCCATACAACTTCCTTCTTCTTTTTATTTATGGTCTTTGTTAGTTCAACTAGTTCTATCTTGTCCCTGCTTAACGATACTTTAATGGTCCTACGTTTTAGCTTAAGCTGTTTAGTATCTACCGAGAGCTTGCTGGAGCTTTGCTTGTCATTCTTAGTGCAAGTGCAGCTTCCTTTATCATGTCATTGAACGGTTTGTTAATTTGGTCAATGTTGAGATCTTTGTCGCCGAGAAGTGAATATGTTTTGGATCTTAAGACCAAATTCTGTCGCTCTGATCTTCAAGTTAGCTGTTTGCCTTCGGTTTACTTATGAGTTTGTTCCTCTCCCTTATGAGGGGTACTTTAATTTAGCCTCTGACCATTCTATGGTTGCTGCCAACATTTGCTTTATTTATAACTTCTGCATTTTTTATTATATCGTGCCTATTTGAAACTATGAAGTCAATTTGGTTTTGACGTTAGATGGCGACTTTTTTTTCGAAGAATGTATACATGATATTGATCGATCGAGCCTCCGCAAAAGTGACTAGCACTTGTCCCTCTCATTTCTAGTGCTTATTCCGTAGTTCCCTACTACGGTTTCTCCTGTCTTTTTACATATTTTGGCATTAAAACCTCCCATGATTATTGTCAAATAGGTTATTATTTTCTCGCTGGCTTAATGAACATCTTCATAGAAGCTCTCTATTTCTTCATCACTGTGGCTGCAGGTTGGACCATAGAGCTGAACAATCTTTAAGTTATACCTATTGTTTAGTTTTATTGTTACTGAAGTCACTCTTTCGTTTACAGCATAGAAGTCCATGATACTAAGCGTTTGTGTATTAAGAACCCCACCCCTAATTCCTGTTTGCTACTCTGGGATCTTCCTCTCTAATAGAGCACTTGTCCATCATTTAATATCTTCTGTTCTTCGACTAGTCTTCCAACTTCACTGAGTCGTACAACATCCCATTTAATGGAAGAGAGTTACTCAGGCAAAGCTAGTACGTTGGATTCAGCTCTCATGGTCCTCATATTGTATGTGCAAAGGTTCACCAACGTGGGTTGGTCTGTCTTCATATGGATATTTTTAGCACCCTCTGCTCTGGAGTGATCATAATCACTGCCGTAACCAGGGGCTCCTTCGTCTCCAGGGAATGAGGGCCGTTGCTCTGCTTGTCCTGTCATGGTTTTTTGATAGGGAGGTGGACAGCCGATTTACCTCCCACCTATTGGCTCAGGTGTATGTTGGTAGGAGGGGGAGTAGTTTGGCCACTGATAAGTCCCACCAGCAGGTTTGGCCCAACCTAGTGTGGATTTAGGAGCAGCAACGCACGGCCTGCTCACTACGCCAGGGTATACTCCAACGAGCATGGGCTTGAGTATCAGAAATGCATATATGTGATTTCATTTTCATTTTTTTCATTTGTACGTTTGTGTACTTGATGCAGACAAGTTCTATGCGTATGCTCGTTTTCGCGCACATGCGCATACAAGCATACACCTTAACACATGTTCCTATGCATATGGATATGCAAACATATACATAGTCATATGCGCACATCGCCTGTACATGCGCATACATTATAATGTGCATAAATTGTAGGGTTGCAGCAGAGGGGAAGGAGGCGGGTGCTGTGGGAGGGGAGGATTTACGATTTTGGAATGGATAAGGATGGGGTTTGGGATAAGAGGGAGTTAGAAAGGTGATTTTGTATCTGGCAATTTTTCAGAGAGCTGTCGCATTCCTTACCTGTTGCTAGGCCTACCGGGGTGCGAACTTGGCTGACCACAGGTCGTGGGGGTCAGTGTCTCGCGCTCGTCTGAGATGCCAATTCTTGAATTACGCTTCATTAATACATGGTTCATATGGCGTATCTATTATTGAATGGCTGATGTATTATGCATACATACTGGCCGTGCGG